TATTGTTCCGAAGTGCCTCTCTTTATTAAACTGCATGTTTGTCTGTTTCTGTTCCCAGATTTTTTTAAGACAACGCTTACAAGAGAAAGAGAGTGTCTTGCCAACGAAAAAATAAGTGAAGGGCCAGCTTTTTGTCTGAGAGGAAAAGGAGACACCAATCTGGCAAACCTTGTAGGAACCAAGCTGTGTCCACATCAACAACATTTCCTGAATTTGTCATAAACTCTCAGAAAACCTGGACAATATACTAGCTGCCAAAGTGAGAACAATAATATTAGATTTCGTGAACTGTCAGAAACCAATACTGAGAGAGTTTAGGTTGACAAAAAGATAGTGCTGCACCACTAAACATCGAAAAAGGCACTCGTTTTCAGTGTTTCTACGAGCGAACTGAGAACCTTTGTTGTCCCAGGGTGCGAATAGAGAACGTTTGTTGCCAAAATGGGTATTCGTTTGAGAGGTATCAAGTTCGGCAGTATCATCCTGATTCTTCAGGTGGTCTTCATCATCCTCATCGGGGTCCTGGCAGACTACCACTCCACAGACCACATCCAGACCTCCTCCTACCCCTACCCCAGTAAGTAGATTATTATTGCAATAACAATATACATTGTGAATCCGCAGAGACAACTTAACATTGCACTGGAGTTCTCCACTTCTATTCAGGAAATCTGGTCTAGCTCCTACCTCTATGTCCTCTCTCTACTCTAGTCTGGTCTCTCTCTAGTCTAGTCTAGTCTAGTCTAATCTCCCCTCTACCTTCAGACCTTCTGTATTTAAGGCCCAAGTGTCGTAATGATCCCGCTTTAATCATTCAAACTTCAATAGGTACCTTCTGGGTGGTTGTATCCTCTTTCCCCAATTCCCAAAATCGTATGGGCTTTGAACGCGCCAAATCTGTGTGCACCCTCGCGTGTTTACAGCTAACGTGTAAGAGACGCTTCTCAATATCGTTCTTCGTGATCTTAGAAAATCACGGACTTAACTGATTTTGGGGCAGCAAGGAGTTATAAATACGCCCCACTCTAAGGCTCCCTGTCCTACAGGATGCCGCCCTAGGCGGGGGCGTCCAGTTCACCCTTCTCGCGAGAGTAGCGGTGAGATGCTAACCTGGACAGTGGTGTGTCTAACAGACGAGTTGTAATTACGCTTCTTGCGCCGGAAGCGGCGTCCTACTAATTTCTCTTGATATTTAAGAGCCAAGAGCCCTCTGCCTTCACTTTGTTACACTGCTACCCATTGTCTAGACAAATGGACCGATTGGACAGTGTCATTATTCTATTTTTTTAAACTCAAAAGAGGAGGGGAAGGGGAAGTAATCATATTTACAGGTGATTGTCATGGACTGATGTCTTTTTGAGCAGGGTCGACTTATCTCGTCAGAGCATGTACTGTTTTATTCATATCACATGTTTTAAAGATGTATGTCTACAGTAAACAGCTATGACCTACGTGACAGAGCAGACAGACATTTTTGCTTCTGACCTCAGGGTCTTAGTTGCTCAAAACGGCCAAGAATGTCTGATAGAACTTGATCTTTCTAAGGTAGCGAAATACACATGTGTTATGACCTAACTCGACAGCTGGTTGGTCAAACCTAATTTTTAGTTTACAACCAATCAGTTCAGCTGAGATCGCGCTGCTTGGTTGTTTACAGTTTACACACATAAAATAACTCCACGAAACCCCTGTCAATCCATCTATCTAGAATCAAACTGTATGTTTATTGTATCATTTCTACTCAGTTCGGTGTTTATTTTAAGCAGATAAGTTAGATAATATGTGGGGAATTGTAGGGTAATTTATGACGCTGAGAAACTGAAGGACAAAATTGTGGTGGAGGTTGGCGGGTGCTCTGGTATGGTTTGCTCCTTCTTTCTTATCAAACGTCTATCGTCCTGATCGCTCCTCCCTGTGTTTTGTGTTTGTTAGTCTCTAGTAACACCTCCAATATTCGGCACTTAAATGACCTTATTGTGTTGCAAGTACCGTAAAACTCTTACTAAAACTAAAAAGACAAAATTGTACATACAGGGAGCGGCCTTCCGTACACCATGAGTCAATTTTCTTCTAATATGTGAGCTGACCTCCCCTCTGGGCATTTGTGTATCAAAGAGGTGAAATCAGGCGCTCATCAGAATCATGAAATGGAAGAAATGGACATTTTCCCCTCCCTCACTTGGGGCGATTATTACCGAGTTGTTGTTGGGTTGTTGTTTTTTGTTGGGGGTTTGTTTTTTTGGAGGGGGGGGGGGTGTAGTTGTTTATTTCAACACCTTTTACGTGCATTTAAAGACATATTTCTGTTTTGGATTTTTACTGAAAAACTTTGATGAAAGGCACACAAAATGTGAATTTGGAGTTCCCAAGGACACTCAAGTATTGGAAGTCACAAAATTTTGGCTGACATTTTCTCGCGAATTTTACCCTCTACACTAGGCTATTTTAATCAGAAATATCTCGACTTTTCCTTGTGATAGACGGGTATATTTTCATTAAAAGTAAGAGAAATGAACAAGCTCTAAGACGATACCATAAATTCCAAATGCCCAAAACATGACGAGCGCCTGATATCACCGTGTCGTGACACATTTTGTCACGCCCTTGTTTGCAGCAGATTTCTATGTGAGATACTGCGCTATCTCCACTCATCATAATCCATATTATCCCGAGACAAGTCGCGGCCACGTGACGCGTTTGGCGTCTCACAAAAACACGACATTAACACCTATTCAGAGACCCTATCTTCCCCACGTCACAAATGACACTTAAACCCTTGACCTTTCAGGTCACTTGGAAACAGAATGATAATAATATCGGATGGGGCAGCAGACAACAAGCATATTATTGTCCTTTTCTTTTACTTCATTTGTCATTGCCGTTGTGTTGATTCTCCAAATCTCCAAATATAACGTCTGTTCCCGATAGAACCGAGGAGTGTTATAAAAACTCCCCAACAAAACCCAAGTTCAGAAAGCAAGGACAAAGCCAAATGCGTGGAGTAATTAATGTATGAAGTGTTTCACAAAACCAAACAATAACAACAACAACCACAAAACAAAACAGAAAACGAACAAACAAACAAACAAGACAAATGTTTAAAAAACACCCAAACTGAAGAACATCTGACAGTCCCGCAGATTTCGGCTTAAGCAGACTATACTGTAATAGAAAAAATTCTTCCCATATTCAAGCCTTCCGCGTACGACTGCGAATCGGCTAACCGCTACACCACACTCCGGTTTGTGTGAGTGTGGACACGTCATGAAGCTATAGATGACGACGATGGTACTCAAGCTATCTGAAAGCTTACGTCAAATCCGTGTATCCTGGACTTTCTTATTGAATTCTCCCTCTTAGAAAAACTGTAACATTATTTTAGGATCGGGACCTATCAATTCATCAGTTTTTCTCCAAAAAGAAAAAGAAAAAAAGGGCAAAAGAACCAAAATAGAGAAGAGGAAGAAGAAGAAGAAGAAGAAGAAGAAGAAGAAGAAGAAGAAGAAGAAGAAGA